CATGGGATGCGCAACTGATTTCTTTGAGAATTGTCAATCTGAATCTTTCTTTCGGTCGAGGTCAATCGTCAGAGGACAAATATGTGCAGATAAGCCGAACATTGGTACTTTCCAGAAACTAAACCTATTTTGTCTTCTGATCGATTAAATAAGGTTCAAGAAGAAAGATAATTTTCTCCGAATCTTCTTTTCTATATATTATATTGCTGTTACAACAAAATCGGGATAGTGTATCTTCATACTGCTACTTTTCGGAAAATGAACTAATGTGTAGTGTACCTTGTATTGATAATAAATATGTGTGATCAAACGAATATGTAGAAGCATGCAGGTTGTAAGATGTCTACATAATAGTCTAAAATCAAAGGAACACAACTTTTCCAATTTCGTCTTTGTACATCATCAGTTAGGCATCATATTAGCATCCTATTTACTATATCAAACTAAGCTAAAAGTTTAGCATGAGATCAATATTTTAGTGAAATAATTTCTGCAAAAGCATGCAAATATATCTCACTTCTCGTCGGTGACTATACATGAAATTCGATGATCTTTTAGTTGTATTCGACTTTCATAGTTTTGCCTATTTATTTCGATTTGGAAAATGAAACTGATTTAATTAATTTTTTCTCAAATTAGTACAAAATGAAATGAAATTTGATTCATTTCACCAGTCGAGATAAGTAGAGACAACTGGAAATCGAATAAAACTCTAAGAAAACTGAGTTTTAGTTACAGTCGTAGACTACTAGTGAAATATAGATGCATGCTTTTGAAGAGATTATTTCAATCAAAAAGTCGTCAATTGTTTTGTTTCTGACTTAGAATCATCGGATATACATTTTGCTATTATAAGGTCTGCTAGCAATGCACAAGGAAGAAAGAGAAAACATCCTGTGTTTTCAATCACAGATCTTGAATTTTCTGATGTGGGGTAATTCGATAGAAATAACACCACTTCTGAGGAGATAGAAAGCGCTTCAGTGAGTATCTATGCAAAAAAAATTACGTGAAAAATCAGATTATAATAGATTTTTTGTGGTTTTTTCTGAAAATCGATTTTAATAAGATTTTCAGCATGCATTTTTACATGGATATATGGAGCGAGTATGATCATAAAATGTGAACTGAAACTCATTAGAGGTAAAGTAAGATAATTTTTCGGCCATTCCTACTGGGAAGAACTGATCAGTTTTTTAAAATGTGGGCAATCGTTATCAGCACACGTTATCTTCCACTTTCTTCTTACATTTCTGTCACACTAGATATATTTTTTGGACTAAAAGTACTCATAAACAGAACCATATAATTATAACATTTAATCTTCTTTTTATTCAGTTTGCGTTATTTCAGTAATTACCTGTCACATAAAGGATAATAATCACAAATATGTGAAAAATCTAGTTTATAAAAGAGTATTGCTTACGTGAGTTAAAACTACACAAACTCACTGTAAATCACAAAATCACAAATCGTTGTTTCCCCCTTGGAAATAAATCATAAAAATTCAAGAAATAATTTAGAACTGTTATCATTACAAAATTTGAGCACAATAGTAAACAAACATTAACTATCACATCATCCTTGCTATCAGCATATATTCTAAACTCAAATGATTTCCCTTGTCGACTGTGACATATACATTCGTCTAAGAAAAAATGAAAACGCTTTAATTTTTTTGTGCTTTCTAATGCTTGAATGATCGTATGATTGCTCATATCTTTTTGCTTAATTGATGAAGAAAAAAAAAAAGGAACGTATGAGCAGTCAAGTAATCGTTATCAATAACTATTTACGAAGAATCTTGTATATGCTTCTCTTTAATATTTTTCGTTGCAGTATGCTTGAAAAGAATCAATCGAGTGATAGACAATCTCTGTTGAATGCATCCAGTAAACTGTCTATTGATGATGGTGATGATGATAATCGAGGCAAGAAACAGCTTTTGACCCATAGGTATGATCGACTAAATGACTGATTTTGAGAAAAGAACAATGAATTTATTATTTTTTAAAGTTTTTTCGATTGGCTCCAATGCTTCAGTAGGAAAAGGAAGGATGAAAAATATATTAAATTAGATGATGATATCCAGCATAATGATAAAGATGCAGCAGTTGGTGTTTTTCGATTAGTAAGTGTTTTCAGACGAAAGACGAACTACATAATTGATGCCTTTAATTTTATTGTAGTTTCGGTTTTCAAATAGTCTAGATATTGCCCTGATGTTCACTACTATTTGTTTCATAGTGGTGCACACGATTACCATGCTCGCTAGCATAGTTTTGGTCAGTCAGCTCATAGGAATATTTGCTAAGAAATCATTTGGTGGTATTTGTGAGCATCAACACAACAATTCAAGCGCTCCAATAAAGAACAACAATACATATTTTCAAGTCATTGGGCTTAATGCATTCAATAGTACGCCATTGCATAAGTATTCCACTAAAAATTATTATTTGTTTACATACACTTTTTTTATTTTTATTTGCTATTTTTTTTTTATCTTAGACTGCGTCACAATAGTGAAGTGAATTTTTCATTAAGCTTACCTATATCAATGCCTTCATTTCGAGGAACAGTTATGACTAAAATTCACTGGTTATTGAGTAAGTGTACTGAACATAACAATATGATTATAAAAATACTGGAAATCATCTTTTTTTCTTTGTAAATCTAGTTACTGCTACTATCAAGTTGCTCACGGGATCGATTGAAAATTTTATTTGGGACATGAGTAATAAACGGCAGATATTTCGTATGCATGTTTCTCTCTTCCGATCACTTATTCAACGCGTAAGTCAAGTACACCACTTTCATTTAAAACAACACTTACTCAAATTTTAATCGTAGTCTTTTCTCAACATTTCTATAAACGTATAACATTTTATGCTCGTTCATTTTACGAAATCCACACCTTTCAGAGTTTAAAAGTTCTAGCTAACCTGCGTAATAAACTGAAGTCAAGGGGGAAACAGCGGAGACTTCAGCCGTGAAGTCCCGTGAAGTCTTGAAAGTCTTTTGAAGTCTTCTGAAGTCTCTTAAAGTCTCTTGAAGTTTTATGAATTCTCATGAAGTCTCTTGAAGTCTCNAATTGACAAATTTTCAATATTGAAATATATCTGATTGATTAAATAAATGATTATTTAGTTAAATTATGTTAAATAAATTAATTATTTAATGTGACAAGTAGCGTCTATCTAAGGATAGACTGTGTCTCTTTTATGAAACTATCTGAGGGGGTTCTCAGGTCTTTTTCAGGTATTCTACATTTAACTGAAACGCATCAATATCTTTTTCCTCTTTTCATAGAAAATCATCTGTGTTTGTTTCAACCAGAGATGGACAGACGACGATTTGGAATTTTTTTAACTGAAACCGAATGAAAATTGAGAGAAAGGACGGGAAACGGTTTGCACGTAAAACGGCCCTAAATAAAAATCATCTCAGAATACTTTCTAAAATTGAATTTCATCTTCCTCTAAGTAAGAATAAAGCATCTGGACATCTTTCGAACCATCTTTAAAGACCTCTCCTTGAGATTTCCAACTAGGATAATAGTATTAAACAATTTCGCAATCCCACTCACAGATTAACCGCGTCTGTTTACCAACTCAAACTCATACTTTCAGAAGAGATAGAGCTATTCGAGACCTACAAAATGATCACAAAATGTAAAGGAAAATATCCTGCGCTCGAAAATTTCCAAGGACCACACTGTCTGGATTCAGTAAGAAAGCGAATAGATCTGATAGTATGGTTCATACGATTTTGAGTATCGCTCCTGATACCATCGTCCTTTTTTCTGTCCAGATAGAGGTTTTCAAGAGCTTCAAAATGATCACAAAGTATAAATGAAAATTTACTGTGCTCGAAGATTTCTAAGGACACCCACACGCACACCCTAGTTTGACTGAACCATTTGAATCTTTTAAGTCGTGTATTAACACCTTCAACTACCCACCGAAGCTTCGTAGCAAAACGAGATCGATTGGCATCATATACTTTGAATTGTTGTCGACCTGTACGGAGAAACGATGGCATGGCAGCATCTTTTCGCAGAGCTTTCAGTACACCAAGAGAATCAGGAAAGCGTCTATCTAGGATCATGATGTCATTCTCTTGGACCAAATTGAGAATATCTTCGTAGTTTTTAAGCATAACATGTTTCAGAATTGAAGCATAATTATTAGGAAAATCGGAGTAGAATGGTCCGAAAATTGTCAGAATATTCCCAGTTGTTGTTGTCATGAGCATGGGTTTAACCAAAGACCGCTTCTTCTGCAGATTGAATATGTTGCGTTGAACGGGATTATTTTGACTCTTCTATTTTTTTCAAAAGAGAATGTTAGATTTATAATGTTCTCTATGCATCCTAGCTGTATATATAAGTACGTTCCATCAAGTACAAGTATACACGGGCTCGGCCTTCAGTTAGTAAGCGGCTAGCGATTGGTGACGTATGTTTGTCAATAACATCCGGTCGTGTCATGTGAGCTAAACCCAAATAACACGGTACGAAATGTTGAACGAAAGTCAATATAACACTAGGGATGATGTGACCCATTTGCCGTTTGCTGTCTACACCTATCATTGAGGCCAAGACCGAATTGCTCAAGGCCAGCTTCAATTTCATCAAGAGATATCCCAAAGCAGATCGCACCGATCGGGTCGTTGAGTTCTTCAAAGCACCTGAAGGTATGTTTGACAAGGTCTGAGTATGCTGAGCGCGAGTAAATCCGGTTAGTGTGATGTTATCAGCATCTGTTAAGGACATGCATTCATCGAAATCAAGGTGCTTGTTACAGTTGAGTTGTGAAAGATACGTTTGAAGGACGTTGATAAAACGTTTTGGAGAGAAAAGCCGATATTCCACTTTGTGTGGCACCAGCGACAGAAAGGCTTCAGGCAACAGACGTTTATCGACAGTATGTTTCTTGCAGCATCGAGATCCTGAAGGTATTTCGATGTGACGTCGGATGAACATTTCCATGCGATCTTCTTCACGAATAGTTACCATTGGAGGCATCATTTGCTCTTTGCAAACACAACACTAGCTATAAAACGAAAATTAGTCAGTTGTTTATATTTGAAAGAATTACCTTCTGGAAGAGATTGCAACTTCAACTGGAATTTCAACGCCTCGTCGATTTAGGCTGTCATCTGAGCTTATTGTGCCCATCTTTGAAGTAAAATTACATAAAGATAAGGTACATAAAAATGAACTTACTACTTCATTATCTTCAACCACAGTTACTTCTTCATCTTTCACTTCACCACCATTGACTGACGAATCATCAAAAGATTCATCATCACTGAGTGATGAATCTGCCTTATTAACAGTATCAGATCTACTATTATTTGAATTCGTCTCAACTGATGCGTCGTCTATAGGTTCATCACTGCTATTTTCTACATCTATACACACTTCCGTTTCTCCATCTTCGTCGTTGGCCTTGTCAATAATCATACTTGCTGTTGAATGATTATTGTCGATCATTCTTAATATATTGCAAATTTCTGGCAGAGCTATCCCCTTACTGTACATTATACGACACTTAAGTACAAATATATGCATCCATCCGCAGAGATGTTGGAAACAAGCGGGTGGCGACGAAAAGTCGAATGCATTTTACAATTAGAGGACGTCGGCTGCTTGAAGTTACGCGACCATCACAACAAGCACAGACATAAGACTTGTTCGAATTCATTTTATGCGAAATAAAATAACGATTCACGTTATCCGCCCCTTTTATATTCTCTCCTCGCTATCTCTAAAATAAATCTAACCAATTCCTCTCTTTAAAAATTTCTCCTTCACATCTCTCTCTCTCTGTAAAACATCTACGCTCCAAATCACTCTCCACCTAACATGCTCTCTGTGAATGTCTCTCGCAATCTTATATCCTCTCCAAATCATTCTTCCTCCCCACCTCGTATAATATCTCTAAATCTCTCTCAAACCAACATATTTTCCCTGATTCTCCATCGCTATATCGCATCTTCTTCCTCCAACCCTCTCTATCTCATATCTTCTACATGAATCTCTTTCTGTGCTTACTATCCTTCCTTTCTATTCCTGGAATCATGGTTCCATTCTTGCATACGAATCATCCTCGATAGATCTCTCCAGCCTTACTTCGTTCCACACACATGACGCTTCCATACCCATAACCCCCATCTATCATCTACCCGAAAATTCACAAACGATCTATGACAGAAGATCCAGAATCTCTCCGCTATACTATATCGACAATTGGTTTTCTAATAGGATCTTGATAAAGCGGCCCTAGAGATTTTTCGACCACAAAGAATTTTGCTTCATGTTTTATTATCACTTTGTAGCTCATAAAAAAGCTGTATCTGCACCTAAAAAATGGCCGTTGTACCATGCCCAATAGTCGAGATCATATGGACCATACTATGCCAACAATTCGCTTTCCCACTGTATCTGGACAATGTGGTCCTTGGGAATTTTCGAGCGCAGGATATATTCCTTTACATTTGTGATCATTTTGTAGGTCTCGAATAGCTCTATCTCTCCTGAAAGTATGAGTTTGAGTTAGTAAACAGACGCGGTTAATCTGTGAGGGGGATCGCGAAATTGTTTAATACTATTATCCTAGTTGGAAATCTCAAGGAGAGGTCTTTAAAGATGGTTCGAAAGATGTCCAGATGCTTTATTCTTACTTAGAGGAAGATGAAATCCAATTTTAGAAAGTATTCTGAGATGATTTTTATTTAGAGCCGTTTTACGTGCAAACCCTCCCCTGTCGTTTGACTAGGGCTACGAGTCTCAGAGTTCGCGTTCCCTTGGGTTCCGTTTCTAAGGAACGGGAACCCACTTCACAATTCATTTCTATAACCATTTGACCATGCCGACACTTCTATGTATACATTTCATTTCATTTCATATTGTATCGAGTCGCTATGGATTCTTGAGTTCTCAAGAGTGGAAACCCGAACAGGTTTGCGTTCCCAGGAACCTGGAAACCCACTTGAAAATTTCTTTCCATGAGTTTTTAATCATCGTCGGGCCTCTATACATGCCTATTATTTCAATTTATACTAAGTCACTATGGGTTCTCAGGTTCTGGGAACACGACCTCAGAGGAAGATTTCTCCCGTTCTTGAGAACCCGAAATCCTATATCAATCTGTGTTTTCTTGAACTCAAAACTCAAGGCCTGTAGCTGTTAATAACTAAATTTCTTGGATTCCAAATTCGAGAAAATACAGGCTGATGTTGAGTTTTGACTTTCCAAGAATGAGAATTCGAGGCGAATTTCTGTTCTTGGGAACTCATCCAGCGTTCACATTTCCGGAAACTCGAGAACAACATGGTCACTTGGTATAAATTGAAATAATAGACATATCTAGAGGTTCGAGAATGGTTAAAAACTCATGAAAGCAGATTTTAAAGTGGGTTCCTGCTCCTGAGAATCCGGGAACCCATAGTGATTTGGCATAAATTAAAAAATACGAACATCTACAGATCTGGGGTTGGTTGAAAACTCATAGAAGCAAATTTTTAAGTGGGTTCTCAGAAATGCAAACTCGCTCCAGTTTTGAGTTCTCGGAAACGGAACCTCAAAATGACACCTTTAGTCGCTGGGATCGAATCGCACCGAACTGAAAACACATTTTGTTCTACTAATTATAATTAAACTTTTGTTATTTGTAATTCGATTTCTTCGTCTTGTCTGAGCGATTGTCATCAGGTGACAGATAAAATAATACCGCGTAAATTTTGATAAAGAAGAAATAATTATTTTAGATTGAATTCGATGACTACGTGTCATTTTTTTTAAAAACAAATTTTACCCACAAAGATACGCAAAGGCAAAGAAAAATTTTATCTGAATTATAAAATATAATTCAAGTTATATTAATTTTTCACAATTATAGTATATCGTTAGTCCAAGTGAAAAAGCAAAGAAAATTTTCATTGTTCGAGAATGAATAGATCAAGCAAGAAAATGATAAAGTTTATGTAAAATATTTTCGAGCACGATTTTTACAATTTGATTCCTTTTATTAATTTTCAGAAAAATTTTTCTCAACTGATTCTAAAACAGGGAATAATGAACATAATCGTCATAGTTAGGATTCTAAGAATTATAGAAATCGAGTGATATGTAGAGTGAAATCGGTCAGGTGATCCTCATGAAGAGAGATGTAATGTGACGTCTTTCGGGACATGAACGTGAAAAAATACTTATTGCACCTTTGTTTGCTTAAAACTATATTTTATTGATGAAAACTGTATGGATTAATGAGAAAAAACTTTTATTATATAATTACATATGCGAAAATCAATTTGGTTTTTGAAAATTTATTTCCATTTGAGAAAACTCACTATGATTTTGTGAAATGGATTTTTTTCTGGGGAAGTCATGTAACTTTATGAAAATTCAAATGAGGCATCATATATTTTCATACGAAAGTTTTGTTTATACAGAGATGCTCATGGGTTGTAGCTTTATCGGGGGGAAGAGGTGCCTTGCTGAAATAAACGGTCAATTTTGTGGCTGAAGATATTTCCAGGTCAACTCTCGATTTCCACGCGTGAATGTATTGAAGAGAGTACCAATTTACCTAGAGCTTGAACAAAAGGTATCTACATTTCGTACTAACTCACGGATTATCTGTATTCTAATTGAAATTCAAATCAAGTTTTGTCTCTGACCTTTTTCACCCCAGTTACAGCATATTTTTTGTCGGAATAATAATTTATGATTGTAATAAAATATATTTTTGGTTTTTTGACTATTCTAACAACAAGCCCGTAGCCAGGAATGTTTTAAGGAGGAGCCCGAATGGAGATTTTTTTCTAAAGTTGGAAAAAACTTTCTCGCACGATTTTCAATATCGATATTTTCGTTCTTAACATGTTATATGCAGCTTTTTCGTTTTGTTTTCTTTTATTAAATTTCAAAGAAAAATACTTATTTTTGTTTTGAGAAACTATCTTGAGTTAATAATCACAAACAATAAAACAAAAAACAAACACTAGTTAAATTTAATTCGTCGTTTCTGTCGAGCAAAATTCTTGACAATTTGAATACTATCTTCATCATCATTGATGATTGACTAGTGTATGTTCAATATACAACAACCGACGAGGGAAAAATCCATTGAACAAAAGAAAAGGAAAAGACTATATAAAATAAAGAAGGAAAGGAGAAATTCATAAGGAATGACAATCGAAGAAAAAAAGTAACAATATGAATATAGAAAGAAGCGTAACGAAGAAACAAAGAAGTTGTCATTACCTAAAAGAAACGAATAAAATAATAGTGGTACTTTAACTAAGAATTGCATTAATTCATAATGATTTGTTTCATAAGGTTGTCCTTCTGAGCGCAGATCGGTCAAGAAAGATTCAGTAATAAGTGTTACAGGAGAAAAGACTAGGTGGGGGACCGGACTTTCCCATTGCCTACGGGTCTGTCTAACAAGATGATCGCATCTGAATTATAAAATATAATTCAAATTCGTTTTATCTTTGGCTTTGGCATTGAACACAGTTCGCTGTTAGTTCGATATTTGTTCTATTTATTTTTTAAAGTTCCTGTTGTTCAACCAGAGGTTCATTTATATTCGAACCCGATTTAGACAAGTCATTAGTTTTATATATTCGGTGACAGATTTACGAGGGCGTTTCTGGCTATCACCCAATATCGAGCAAAAAATCGTTGCTTTCTCTTAGAAAAAAACTTCAAAATGAACTCTTATTGCCTGTAAAGAATCTGAAAATACTTCACGATGATGATAGTTTCTATCTCCGTCTAATAACTTTATATAATATAAAGTGTTTGGAGTATATCTTAATCAAAATAAAAACATTTTAAAAAACTGTTTTCTTATGAGAATGTTTAGAATCAAAAGCTTTACAAATGGTGAAGATTTTATCAACATTGGAGATTATTTTGATAGAATATAGTTGAGATATCGTCGAAATATCCAGCTGTAAAACAATGAACACACTTGATTTCTACTAAAACAGGTCATGGACACAAACTCTTTTCAGGGTGAACATCATTCACTGAGCTCTACAAAGCTCGAAAGCGATATGACAGTTGGATATATTTCCTCGTAAGAAGATAACTTAACTGAAATTGAGATCGATTCAAAAATTTTCGAACCAAATTTAGTTTTTTCTATGGGCGGCGCAAGCTCAATTATTGAGGAAAATCAATAAGCCTTAGAATGAGACAGAGTTGATATCGATTCGGCCGGTCAGCACCGGTTTTTACCGGTTTAAAAATTTTTTTTAGTATGCTATTTTTCTTTGATAAAATGTGTCGAGACTAAATTTAAAGGTATTTATGAAAATGGTTGAAGAGTATTGTTTAAGAAATGATCAGTTTTATCTTGTTCTGATTGTCTATAATTTTTATTTCTTTAATCGACCTGTGTTTCGCTTCATGAAAACTACAATAAAAACTGCCTTATTTGAGATTAATTT